AACGTCGAAACGTCAGGCAATAAATATTCCACCTAAAACCGGGTTTCGGCAAAATACTTTTAAACAACAACAAAAAAGTAACCACATTTTTTAGGACCTATGGAAGACCTCACTATGCACCTAGTTCTTATTCTTGTCTGAAAAATAGCCGGTATTTCCATCCCTTTTTTATAGAATTGCCTAATAAAAATTGCCTTTCTTTCGAGATCAAGGTTTCTCGATTTTATAAGCTGTCAAGATCCTATCAGAACAGCAGTGTAAGCTTCTGCCCATCTATGATTGCTGTTTTTTTGCGTATTCGAAGTAAAGCGGAGGTTATTATTGAAGCTGAATGGAACGATATGAAGTCAATGACAATTTTTCAAGTTGAAATATTCGAAAAATAAGGTACATCGGCTTCATTGATGTGGCGCAAGGCTATAATCAGATGGAGATGAATTTAATGTTTTTCGCCATCCCAAAATTTAGAATCAAAGTGTAAAAGCTTAATTAGCGTGTTGTTAAAGGTCAAATTACACATAAAACATACTAATCTCACAAAGTACCTGTCGTTCCCGAATGGAGAGACTTGGAAATGAGTTAGCGATCTGTAGGGTAATAAATACAATTGTACATCCCATTAATACCCTGCATGCCATGCCAAAACCTCTACGTCTAAGGTATCGTAATGTGATCATTGCACCATATAGATGGAGAGATCTGAAAGAAGTGATGTTTAAAAATAATAGGAGACGAGAAACGGCAAGCAATAGAAATGAGATTTGAGAACAAACAGCATCACATACCAACGAAGGACTGAGAAATTGTTCAGGAATACTCTTATTATATTTCATATCCTTTCATATTCTTCATGAAAAATACATGGTTTCAAAAAAGAGGCCTACCGGGTGATAGATACTGTATAAAACAACTGGCTATGGTTTTTAGAAAAAAAAGTCCATATTTTTCTGGATCCTACTAATTTAAAAAATTGCAAGTTGTCCCGCTTATACAAAAAAGTTACAGAACAATTATTTGTGATGTAGAAGAGGAACTTAGACATTGGAAAACAAGTTCAAAAAAGCTCAATGCCGAATTGCGTTGATTCTCACTTGTCATCCACTTTGTCACCTCTTCTCTTATTTCTTCTTTTCTTGGAAATTTTTCCCACTTTTCA